GCCACCACACCCGGCTAATTTTTTGTGTATTTTTAGTAGAGATAGGGTTTCACCGTGTTAGCCAGGATGGTCTCGCTCTCCTGACCTCGTCATCTGCCCGCCTCGGCCTCCCAAAGTACTGGGATTACAGGCGTGAGCCACCGCGCCCGGCCAGGACATGAAGAGTTGTTTTTACTGACGAGGATACACAGATGTCAAACAAGTGCGAAAAGATGTCCCACAGAGCCATCGGGGACACGTTTAAGCTGCACCGAGACATCAGGAACAGCAGTAACACCCAGGGCTGGGGAAGATGCTGGCAATGTTGTGGGTGGGAATGAAATGGGATAGCCGTGCTGGAAAACGGTTTGGCAGTTCCTTTCAAAACCAAACGTAGATATGCTAGATGACCCAGCAACTGAACTCTTGAGCTTTTATGCCAAAGAAATGAAAACTAAATTCACAAGAAAACCTGCACACAAATATTCATAGCAGCTTTCTTGATAACAGCCCTAAACTAGAAAGGTCGAAAAGCCCTTCAGCTTGTGAATGGTGAAACTGCGGTACGCCCACATCATGGAACGCTCCTTAGCAACACAAGGGAAGGAACAGCTGGTGCACAGACTACGTGAATCCCGAGGGAATTAGACTGCCTGAAAACAGACAACCCCAGAAGGTCACAGGCTGCAGGATTCTCTTTATATCACATCCTTGAAATGACAAAATTTTCGAGCTGGGCAACACATCAGGGCAAAGGGAACACAGGATGCCTCTGTTTTATTACAACCACATGTGACTCTGTAATTACCTTGAAATAAAAAGTTTAATTAAAAAAGAAAAACTAATTAAAGGAATGCTTTTCTAGGACACTCTAGCACCCTCAAAGGCCTGAGCCATTACGACCGACGGAAGCCAGATGTCTGCCGTTGCAGGAAAAGCCTGATCTTTTCTTTCTTGTCCTGAGTAGCCTGTTTAGCATCCTCTCAGTTACAACACACAGGATACAGAGAAGGCATTTCCCACAGGAGACTGATATATTAAAAATTCAATTTTCTGTGGGCAGACACAGTTTAGGTCTATTTTTTAAGAAAGATGTTTAGCTACAAGTATGAAAGGCTTTGCAAGGGAAATGTAATCGTGAAAGGAAATGGCGTTGAAGGCCGGGAACCGGATGCCTGCTGACACAGGCATGGAGTTCGTGGCTGTTCCCCAGGCCGGGGCCATCTGCTCTCTGAACCCCTGACCCCTACTCACTCACCTGAACTCACTGATGGAAAAAGCTGTCTCAGAAGCATTTAAACACCGGGATAGCACATTTATAAGTGAAAATGTTTAAACGCTTACAAGTACATTTGGTGATGCGTGTGATAACACAGAACAGTGAGAGCAAGGTGAGGCAGGGGGGCTAGTGGTGGATGCCAGCTCCTCTGAAGGGCCTCTGAACGCCTCCGGGGTCCCATCCCACTGGACAGGGAGGGGCTGCGGCCTTGTCCGGAGAGGCTCACTGAGCCCAGGCTGGCCGGGCTGCTTGGAGGTCCTCCTTCCTCCAGGCTTCTGGAACGCACCTGGCTCTCCACATGCACGGGACCCAGTGGGGTGCTCCCTGTCTCCCTCACCAAACCTCCTAAGGCTCGGCAGGGAAAACAGCCAGGGGAAGCAGTGGGGTTGCAGGAGGGAGGGAGGCGTGGGAGTTTGCAAGAGCCAGGCAGGGTGCACGAGGACCAGAGGGGGCAGGAAGGGACCGGCGTGGGCCTGGCACCTAGATCCACCTCAGATGGGGGACTGGAGCAGGCTGCTGACCGCTACCTCGACACAAACGTGAAAAACCACACTCATGGTTTCTACCTATACAGGTGCTTCCAAATGACTAGTACAACTTTGAAAATATCTCATTTAAATAATTTAAACACATATTTTAAAATATATTGAGATATTAGTTACATGAATAATTCATTTGAAACAGATTTAAAATGCACCCTTTGAGAAGAACTGTAATATTCCCAACACAAAGAAACAATCAATGTTTGAGGTGATGGACATCCCAGTTACCCCAACTTCATCATTAAACATTGGTGTGCAGGCATCATAATAACACATGGACCCCCAACTATGTACAACTATTATATATCAACAAAAAATAAATTTTTTGGCCAGGTGCGGTGGCTCATGCCTGTAGTCCCAGCACTTTGGGAGGCCAAGGCGGGAGGATCACGAGGTCAGGAGATCGAGACCAGCCTGGCCAACATTTTGTTAAGACCCCGTCTCTACTAAAAATGCAAAAATTAGCCGGGCGTGGTGGCAGGCGCCTGTAATCCCAGCTACTGGGGAGGCTGAGACAGAAGAATCGCTTGAACCCGGGGGCGGAGGTTGCAGTGAGCTGAGGTTGTGCCACTGCACTCCAGCCTGGGTGACAGAGCAAAACTCTGTCTCTAAAAAAATAAATAAACACATTGTTTAAAAATGCAATCTTCAATGAGGTATTCTCCTCCAATTTTCATAAATTTCTACCTAGTCGAGTTTATACTGATATGATTTTATTATACTTTATTCTAACACAAATTTTAGAAACGGTGTTTCCGACTTTTTCCTGCCTTGATTGGTTCGTGTGTTCCCATAATGGTTTTAAATTCCACCAGTCCTGGTGTGGGATGCTGAAGGAGGGGAGGCTGTGGTGTGCGTGTGTGTGTGTGTGTGTGTGTGTTGGGCGGAGGGGCAGTGGGTACACCCACTCAATTCTGCTGTGAACCTAAAACTGCTCTAAAAAGACATAAACAAACAAAAATTAAAGGTTAAAAAAAAAAATGTAGTAGGGAGCTTGGGCCTATACCCAATAAAACACTTTTTTTTTTGTCATTTTTTTTGTCTGTTTTGCCAAAGAAAATAAAAACTTTAAAAAAAATTATTTGTATTTTAAAAATGTTTTGAGAGACAGGGTCTTTCTTGGTCGCCCAGGCTGGAGAGCAGTGGCTATTCACAGGCACGGTGAAGCCTGCTGAGTGGCCTCTGACTCCCAGGCTCAGCAATCCTCCCTCCTCAGCCTCCTGAGAGGCTGGGACTGGAGGCGCGAGCCACCGCACCTGGGTAAAACTTATTTTTAAACTGTTAGTGGACTTCACCAGGGTAAATATGTCGGGTGTCACTTACTCGCAGCTTTCGACTTTGTTTCCGAACGAGCTTGCCGTGCTGAATGAAATGAACAGGACACTGGTTCATGGCATTGTCTGCTTTATGTCGAAGCCAGTCTTCATAACCCTAAAAAAAGGAAGCAAAGAAGGGAGAGAGGAAGTGGAGACAGAGGGAAGGAGGAGAAAGGGAGGGAGAGACAGAAGGCTTGTGTTTAATTATGTCTAAGCATAATCCAAGCCTGTGGGGGTGTATTTTTTCAAAATCAGGATGCATTACACACATTATTCTTTGTATCCTCAACAGAGCATTGGCATATTCCCATGGCAATGCGAGCTGCTTTAAATGTCTGCAGTTGTAGAACTGCAAAGACGTTGGATAAAGACGCTCATCGAAGTCTGTATAAGTACTATATAACTGTACTTTTTGTGCCTATTCATGACATGGCCTTAGGATAAATTCCTAAAAAAGAAGTGTCTGAATGAAATGACGAGCAAGCCTTCCAGTTTCTTCACATCCACACTGAAAAGCCCTCAAGACTCCAGTGGGGCCAGGCACATTTCCACCCGCTGAGTGTCAATCTTCTGCTTGGAAAAGCCCCCAATGGCCATTCTTCTCTTTCATTAAAAACTGGCTGTTATGAGATCTGGCAGCCCAGACTCTCGGTGAACCACCGGCTCACTCTGCGACACCTGCAGCAGCCTTAGGGTTCTCCATGCGTTTCTGCGTCTGGGTAACCCACGTGGGAAACATCGCATCGTGACTCCTGTGCACGCGCAAGCATCCTGCTGGAAAAGCAGCCCAAGCTAACCCCGACCCCAGCCGCGCTGCCAGACCTGCATGCCTTTGACAGGCACAGACACCCGCACTCCAATTCCAACTACCAAGGCACACCCTCTACTTGGACAGTCAGGTGGTATCTTGAAAGCAGCAACAATAGGAGATGCAGCACGCAGACAATTCCGGGGATGACGAACATGCCTTTGTGTCTGGCGTTGCCGGATGCATGTGCCTTAGATAAGGATGGGGAATGCTGTCCTCAGTAACAACCCCCAGCATGTGAGAGATTGCACACCAGGGGTCTACAGGCGTCCACCGCATCTAATGAGCGTCAAGACTGGGAACACAGCTCTGCCACACACAACACACAACCATGCAGGATGGCAGCAGGAAGCCTACGCCATGGGCCCACTGCACGTATGTTGAGAGAGCCTGTGGGGCAGGAGGCTCACTGGGGGCCTCCTCCCTATGGGCCACGTGGTGGCATCAGTGGCCCTGTGACTGGAGTCTTTTCCAAAGGGAACATTAACAAGGAACCCAAAACCTCCAGCTTCTGGAGAATTAAGAAGCCTGGGATGCATGGATATCCAAACATGCGGAGCTTTCTCCAGCCGTGACCACTACTGTGACACTGCGGCATCTGACTGCTTTTCAGAGATTCCTCCCAAATCGCTGAAATACTCTTTCTGGGGAAACTGAAGAACAGTCTTCCTGGAAGGTGGCAGTGGGTAGATGATTCCTGGGTTCATTAAACACACTTATTTAGCACCAACTGCATGCTCAGTAAGTGCCAAGCACCAGGGTTCCACAGACAAAAGACCTTGTCCCCAGCGCTGCTGCTCTCAGGATCGGTGGGGAAGAAACAGAAGTAACTGCAAGTTCAGTGCAGGTGAGAGACCCAGCACCCCCGAGAAGCCCAGTGCCCAGGCTGCGGAAAGACGCCAAAGAGGAGGTTGCCCAGGAATGCCTAGCAGTGAGGGAGTCCCCAGGGGCTGGCACTGCCCACTGGCCAGCCTGGCTGGAACCAGAGGGACACGTGAAGGCCCAAGCATGTGACCGGCTGATTGGAGGGGCCCTGCACACAGCAGGGGTGGCTGGGTGCCACAGGGAAAGGCTGCTCTAGCAGGACCTGGGCGATGGCAGTGGCAGAGCCAGGTGCAGTGAGATGCACGTCAGTGCCCAGGTAAGACACCGGGGAGATGGTGTGAAAAGAGAGGTGGGAACCTAAGAGAAAATCAGGGAGGCCTCCGTGAGTGCAGGGGGCTTTCCAAGGCAAGCGAGGAGGGGCCAGGAGCATGGGGACCCCAGCACAAACGTCCCTGCTGCAGCCAGCGTGTGGGGAGGCCGTTTGCGCAAGTCGCGGCTGCGGACAGAGCTGCCGTTCCCGAGGAAGAGGGACAAGGAGGTCAGTAGTGGGGGAAGGCCGAGGGGGCGGGGACACTCTGTCGCACACAGGTCCAGACCAGCAGTGGGGGAAGCGAGGCCGTCCCCAGAGTGAAGGCTGGGTAGCAAGACGTGCGGGAGAGGAAGAGACCCCTCCGGCCAGGGGCAGGGGTGCTGGTGATGGGGCCCAGACCTGCAGCTCTGTTCATTCACCACCTTGCCCTGACCCCTCTTAACACCCCCAACAACACCCGCCCACTGCCCTGGGATGGGAGGGGACACAGCCAGGGAAGTGACACAGCCAGGCTGATGAGAGGGGACACAGCCAGGGAGGGGACGCAGCCGGGCCAAGGACACCGCATGTTGTCTGGGGCCATGGTCTGCACAGTGTAGACAAGCGGCCTCTGCATCCATGGGGGCTCAGGCTCCCCGGCTGCTGCCTCTCTGGCCCAGATGCGTCTTCAGAGCCGCCCTCCCTACTCCGCGCTCTCCTCTCCTCTCCTCTCCTCTCCTCCAGGACGCTCTTGGAGTCCTCAGGAGTTTCCCGCTCAGTGGGGTCCCAGGAGGGATGGAATCTTTAACAAATGCAGAGCAGAGGACGCTGAAGAACAGTGCTGTGCCTGCCTCCCGGGGCCGGGCTGGAAAGGACATAGCCGCAGAGCCTCAGCGGTCTCCTTCCCGTCTGCAGCCTCTGCTCCCACCACATAGATGTGCCACAGACAGCATGGGATGCCCTCACCTAATCTCCAAGATGGGTTCCTGGAAACTGCGACTTTAGGCCCGAGGACACACAGCAGGTCCCCGAGTAACATCGTTTCCTTCAGCACCATTTCCTTGTGAAGTTGATGAGAAAACCTGTCCTCTTGCTTAAAGTCGAAGTTTGCAAGAGCCACCGACACGGAGTGAGGCCTTACCCCAGGTAGGGGCTAAACTGCCTGAGTCGCGGGCAGTGAGTCCTTGGGAAACGTGAGTTTCCCTCACGTTGTTTTCCAGGCAGCGCAGTTCGTCTTGGCTACTGTGCTGTGTCCTGCCCTGCCCTGCAGAGGAGCCGCCCATTTCCTTATGAGAGACCCTGGGCTGCCCGAGTCCTTTGCTAACCAATGACGGCCACCATGAACATCCCAGTCCACGTACCCTGGTAGGCACGGCCGGCTCTGGCCTAGTGAAGACACACAGGCCCCATGTACTGACTACACAGCTGCATGTTTATCATCTGCACCGGCCCCTGTGTGTCCACATCTCTGCCTGTGTCAGATGTTGCCACCTGCTGTGCTTGGTGGCTCCGCCACGCTCCTGCCGGGTGCCCGTGGTGCCTGCCTCGCCACGCCCTCTCCAGACTTGCACATCTGAAAGCCGATCTGGTGGGTGTGAAACACAAATGTGCTCAGCAGCATGATTCAGAGCAGCTAAAACGCAGAAACACCCCAAATGTCCATCCACAGAGGAAGCCATACACACACTGCGGGTGTGCGCGGCGGACCGTGACTCATTCATCAGATGGAACGAAGCGCTGACGCCTGCTCAGATGCGGAGAAACCTTGAAAACATCGTGCTAAGTGAAAGAGCGAGTCACAAAACACCGCACATGAGCTGTGAGCATGAAATGTTTAGAATGGGCAACTCTACGGTGACAGAAACGTGAGTCTCTGCCAGGGACGGGGAGGAGAAAATGGGGAGTGACTGAACATGTGTACGGGGAATCTGCGGGTGATAAAATGGATACACGGAGAGTAAAACTGAGATATATTCTTCTCCATGTTTGTCACTGGCTTTATTTACCAGGGCTATGAAGGAAAAACAAACCAACCAACAAGAAACACCACCCCATTTGCCGGAGTCCATAAACAGCATGTTCTCAGGTGGTCAAGACAGTCAAGGATGCAGAAAGGTTAAGTGACTCATCTGCATCAGATCATCCCTGGGTGATCTGGGATGTGAAAACCATAGATTTCTTCTCAAATTCACATGGCGACAGAATAGCAACGAAATGACATAACATCTCTTACTGTGCTACAAGTATCAACACAGTTATAAAAATGAATTTCTACAACTTGGTTGAATTTTCCATGAACTAGCTGAAACGAACCAATTACCTCGCTTCGAATGAAAGGCAATTCACATGGCAAAGATGGCGACTTGCTTGCGTTTCGTCTGTAAAATGCTTACCTGTTTGATAGCCGTGACAGTAATGACGAAGAAGAGTGGAAGTCCACTTGTCACTGGACTTGTGGGTGTATCAATAATCAACTGCAGAAAGACAGAATTGTAAAATCATCTTCAAAAATGCAAATGACTGACTTTAGGCAGGTTAGTTTGCCCTGAGCCAGCACTTCCCATTCGCTTTGACTTATTTAAACCCTTTGCTGGCACCTGACTCTGCCCACCACGGGAGATAGCAACTCAATCATCCTATTTCACTGACTGTTAAAATGAGGGCACCTTTTTTAAATTAAGGAACATGCTCAAGGAAACCACGGGGAGTGGCCGACACAGTCCGAAGTCGGGGCACGCCTTGTGTTAATTCATCCCTCGGCTTCAGTGTCACATTTTAATTACATGATTTGAATAATGTTGGAAAAATTTTAAAAGTCCTTCAATAGTATTTTGTATGATTTAGAAAAATTAGAGGGCTGTTCTTAAAACACACCTGGCACACTGCCCCCTAACTCATACCCTAAGACATTTTTTCCCTCTTTTTTTCTTTAAACTCTCTTTTCATGTGTACTGTCTTTGGATTTTCTTTTTCTTTTCTTTTCTTTTTTTTTTTTGTTTGAGACAGAGTCTCACTCCGTCTCCAGGCTGGAATGTAGAGGTACGATCTCGGCTCACTGCAACCTCCCACTCCTAGGTCCAAGCGATTCTCCTGCCTCAGTCTCCCGAAGAGCTGGGACTACAGGCGCACGCCACCACGCCCAGCTAATTTTTGTATTTTTAGTAGAGATGGGGTTTCGCCATGTTGGTCAGGATGGTCCCTATCTCTTGACCTCGTGATCCTCCCTGAGTGGTGGGATTACAGGCGTGAGCCACTGCGCCTGGCCTGGATTTTCTTTAGAACATCCACACACATTTATGAAGAGTAAAGTAAGTGGAACAATGCATAGCTTGGCTGTGAACTTGTCCAAAAGATAACAAAGCTCTGACTTCCCCTCTGGTACTAGAAGGAAAGGGGCAGGAAAGGCAGTCACCAACTTAAACCCAAAGTGGCGTTGTGTGTACTAATTTAGCTCGTGTGGATCTCACAGAACCAACATGTTTTGTCCTTCCTTAAGAAAATAAATAAATGAATCGTAGGTGAAGGGCACCACGCCCTTGCGCTTTCATTAGTCGTGTGGCAGTTACCTGAGAATAAAATGTCACTTATTTAGATTTATATTTGATGAGGTGGAAAACAATGACCGGCCTTACCTGCACCAGAAATATGATAAGGAAATAAAAGTTGGCTACTCTTCTGAATTGTTCAAATAAATTCTTGGGTATAAAGTTCCAAAATGTGTACTGCATAAAAGAAAAACAAACATCCATCATTTAGATCAGATTTTACTCTCATAGTGTTACTATAGGCATAGTAAGTAGCACTGGATTTTACAGTACAAAATGTTTAGCTTTAGATATAAAACTCGTAATTCATAATTTAGAGTGTTTGTTGACAGCTAAGACAGCTGAAACAAAGTGTGTACTCTGAAACATGTATGTAAATTACCGAACTCCAGAGAATTCAAGATAAAACGCAAGGTAGCTCAACAAGAGTTTGATTATTGAGATGTCTTTTATAAAATGTAAACCTGTGATCATTAACTCAACACATTAGCATTTTACTTCAGTAATTTCTGCATGATCTCTCCTCTGAGTGACAGCATGACGGGTGATGACAGCGAGCTGAATGGAAGCCTTCACCCAGCTCCAGGCGGCTTCTGAGGCAGAGGTGTTTCTTGTCCACAGCCCAGGCACAAGGGCTTTGAGGCCTCAGGGGGAAGGAGAGGAAAAGGAAGCGAAGGAGGGCAGGGAGGGGATGTCGGGGAAGTGAAGTGAAGGAGCGGGGGAGTGAAGTGAAGGAGGGAAGGAGGGGAACGAGGGAAGGAGGGGAAGAAAGGAGGAAAAGGAGGGTAAGGAGGGTAAGGAGGGCAGGGAGGGAAGGGAGGGGAAGGAGGGAAGGAGTGGAAAGAGGAGAAGGAAGGAGGAAAAGGAAGGAGGAAAAGGAGGGGAAGAAAGAAGGAAAAGGAGGGGAAGGAGAGCAAGGAGGGGAAGGAAGAAGGAAAAGGAAGGGAAGGAGGGCAGGGAAGGGAGGGAG